GTGCCTGCATATAAATACGTCACTGAGTATAATACAGAAGTGTTAAATATGTTGCTCGTTGACGCCGTTCCTGCGAATATGGCGGTTGGCGGCGACGACTCGTGAGGTGTTGGGTTTAAGTTGGCCAGTCGTAATTGTATATAATAAAATAAATAAGTTTTTGTTGTTATTAAATGACAGCACCAAATAGCACCGCCTTACTATTCAAGAACAATTAAATAATACAAAAAAGACAGGGACGGGCGCCCAAGGAGGGGAAAATATTAATAATAATAACAATAATAATAATCATGGTAATACAAAATATATAACTATACCAACAAAACGATGTGCCGTATGGGCAATAATACAATAATGAACAATAAACTATCCAAAATGCAATATTGGCAATAACGCACATAAATCGTATTATGTATATATATATAAAAAGGCACCACCTGATCGGTTGACCACTGCAAAGCACTCGAGCCGAAGTTGCCCTTTGGATCACTGGAACGTTCAATCGTGCACGCACGGTGAAGAAACGTCCACTCCTATAAACACGGCACTACGCAATCACTTTTTCATGTGCCCACTGTAGTTCCGGCGTATCGATCATAACTAAATTTCGTTACCAAAAAGAAACAGGAAAAACTCGCACAGAACTGTGGCACGACAGCCGCGAGCCGGTCCTCGCCCCGCGATCACGTGACTTTCCACGACAGCGGCCTAAAACGTCCGCACAAAAACCAACCATGACGCCGCAACGATCGAGAAAAGACAACCGGGCTGATTTCACCAACGGCTTTTGCCTGCCGTTGCTTTAGGCCGTATGTACAAAGGGGGGAAAGTTGAACCGCAAGGCATTATCTCCAGTTGAGCGGGTTAAGCCAGCGGGAATTTAACTGTGTTCGAATATCCTCCCCCCGTGTGCCTTGCCTCACATAGCGAGAGAACCGGATCACCTTGGAGACCAGCGTGGTAGAATTGAAGTAATGGTGTCTTGATACGTTTGTCAAAATGGTATATGCCGATCATGTGGTGAGTGCTATAATTTTATAAAAAAAATTACATAAGACAGAACAAAAGAAGTGAACATATGGTTCGTATAAAACAAAGTACATGTATAAAGGCAAATATCATTAAGTTAATAAGGTGACTGATCCCACCACTCACATGTCGTGCACCCCAAGTTAACAACGCGGATACCAAGTAGTGACGAAATTGTGAGTATGTGGGAGTGATGTGTTGATCGCGTCCTAAAGTTGCTACAGTGTTTATAACTATATCAAGGACGTGAAAAGAGCCATGGTTAGGTTAATCGGTGAATAATGGTACAAGTTTGACCACTGAGCGGGTGGACACTCCAGCACGCGTTAACACCCGAGCGACTCGGACCTGACCGTCAGTCCTCGGAGCCAATTCAATTACACGGCCGAGTCGCCATAAAAGTGGCGGGTTTTGGGTTTCCATAACCACAACCATGTCGCCTATTTTAATATTTTTGGTTTTAGCGGTCTACTTTGATCGCTCCTGCAACGACGTCAAAAACTCGACTGACCATTGGCGCCAGATCGCCTGATGGCATTGGTCCATTAGTTTCCACCGGTTGAACAAATTGCGCTTCGTATCTGAGGTGGATCTCGGCGGAACGGCGAGCATCGGTTGCCCGATTAGAAAATGTCCCGGAGTTAAACAATCCAAATCGTGTGGATCGGTGGACGCGGGCGTGATCGGGCGCGAGTTTAAAACAGCTTCTACGCGCGCTAAGATCGTAGTAAATTATTCGTAAGAAAAAATGTACGTGCCTATTACACGTAATGATAGTGTGGTATTAACCGCGCGACACACAGTCGGCAGGATTATTCAATGAATCAATGTACTGCCAGCCACAGTCGGGCAACAGCGTACGGATTTGGTGCACACGATTCGACATGTACACTTTGAATGATTCGTGCGGGACAGTTAACCAGGACAACACTATCGTTGAGTCAGTCCATGTACGCACTCCGACAATGTTGAGCAACGGTGCTACTATATTCCGAATACGGCCTAACCATCGAGCTAATAACACCGCAACGTTTAACTTTAGCCGAGGGATGGTTAGTTGTTTTACGGGAGCTAATTTTGTTTTAGTTCCGATTAAGAACACCGTTGTATCAGCAGATACATCGGCCATACGCGCTTATACAACCGCGGCGTAACCGAGATGAGATGTATCACAAAACCCCAGCAGGTAGCACGGCGCACCTTTTCTCGCATTTATGTAACGGGGTACACGGATCGTTAATAACGCCGGCAGGTCTGAAATAAAAGCGGACCATTCGATATGTATGTCGGCATCCCACGACAGACTGTGTTTCCCCGTCCGTTGCATTATCGTTTTGGCCAAAAACATCACGGGTCCGAACACCACTAACGGATCGAATATCCGCGCGACCAGAGATAAAATGCCGCGTTTTGTAAATACTTGTGACGGTTCAAGACTTAGTGTGCAACTCAAATAATCGCCATCGAGGTGCCATTCTAAACCAAGAACCTTTGTACCGTAACTTTCGGAATTTTTAAAAGACATAGGTGCCCCCACCTTAAACGCTAAATAATGTGACCATTCTTAATTTATTTAGTGTTGAGTAATAATAAGTTATGAATTTTATTGTATGTAAAATTAAGAGTGTTAATTTTACTTATTTTTAAAAAATATATTTCGTTACTCGTTGTTTACTTAATACTAGCTATCACGAACTCTCGTACAGGGTTATTAAATGTCTGTTCTACTTATGGCAGAAAAAGAGACAAATTAAACACAACTAATTGGTAAAGGCATGTAGAAAAATGTAAAAATAAAAAAATGAAAAGCTCTAAAGGCAGAAATTGTGACATTTCGAAATTACTTGCTTCATATGTCTTAAAATCTACGGAAAATTCAGGTATTTAAATGCATTATTATTAAATATTATTTACCAAAATTACCCAGATCACTATGTTATAGATGAAGAATCTTTTCAAACCCTAAAATCTGGTAATTTTTATTTAGTTTTATTTTCTTAAGTACTTCAAATTGGTTGAAATTAACATAATATTATATTTTAATGAATAAAAATAGTAAATATTATATTTACTTTTAAGTTTTAAAATATTTAAATTATAAATTACCACCTATTATAGTTTTTAACCATCATATCTAATTAATATTACAAAATAAAATTTAATATGTTGATTTTATTTTCAGTAGTACCAAATAATGATCAAATGATAATAGTGAACCAAACTAATATTAAAATTTATGTTGATCAAGAATACCTTTCATTACTAAGTACAGGTAAGTACCTACTACTTTTTGCTGATTTGCTATAACTTATTCAGATCATTTTATTAATTATATGTATTATATTATTTTTTAGCGAACCCAGATCACACAGAGTACACAGAGAACAATGTTGCTACTGATGAAGAATCTCTTCAAACTTTAAAATCTGGTAATTTTTATTTAGTTTTATTTCCTTAAAATGTGTACCAAATTGGTTGTAATGAGAATGATTTGTTTTTAAGTTAATCAAAGATTGACAAAAATTAATTTTATAATTTATTACCATCATAAATATTATTATCTAATTGTTATTTTAATTTTATTTTCAGTTTTAACAATTAACGATCCAATTTAAAATGGAAAAATGACCCGGCTAAAATTAAGGTCATTAAATTTAACTCCGAATTGATAAATGTAGTATTGGGTTGGAGTTCATGTCAGCCGTCTAGTAAAGATATACCCAATGGTAATTTCCCCAAGGATCAAAAGAATAAGTAATTTTTGCTATAAGTGGGAAGGGATTTTCATGATGTATTGTGAGTGACATGTGTTACGGACATACATAAATGTAGGTCCTTATAACTACCAATACATAGGGGGATCACATAAATAGTAGAAATCGGTGAACAATATAGAAAGGAATGATTAAGACCCCAGGGTAACACGAATATGAGCTGTCAGGCTACATTTCAAAGTATTATAATAAATGCAATTAATAAAAGCGCATAACAAAATATGAGAAATGTGCGAATAGTAATATTACCGAGATCAACCATTTAAATTACAATTTAGCACCTCAGGGTAGTAACAATAATTGGAAATAATTTATTACATAGAAATGCGCGGCCAATTCCCACGAGACCTAAGTATATAAGGGGGTTGGGAATAGACCAATATTCAGATGTGGTTTATACGTGTATTAGTGAGCACCTCCACGCCAGATCATTTGTTAAATTAATTATCCTTAGAGAAATTTCAAATAAACAGTTTAACTTAGATTGAGTATTTTATTTGGAATATTTCCCTAAATCATCACCATCTTTACGATTGAACGACGGCAAGCAACACATGCATAATTAAATAATGATTTCATGACATCCGTATATATATATTAATCGACTGGACGATTTAACGTTGATTAAGTATATTAACGGTTTGAGATTTTGTCACGTTACATACTTCACTGAATGGAATAAATAGATTTACTCATGCCATTGCGAACACGATGATCGGAATCGTATGGTGATTTTATTATCATCAGATATAGATATTATTGCCCCAGTGTTGCAGCATTCTGTATTTATGGTATTTTTTAAAGATATTCTTATTTTATATACATTAATTATTAGTGATCGGTATGTATTGTTAAATTTCATCTTTCATCCTAAGTTATCCTAAGAACAAACCCTAGGATCGTCCAAGGATATATTGTTAGTACGAGGCGCGTAAATGTAAGCACATCATGCAACAGGCTATAACATAGAACGGACAGTCGTGTGTTGTGATGGTTGCGGGAGCAACGGGGACAGCCGTCGTGTCCGTCACCAACGTCAACGGTGCGTCTCGCGTTCGAGGTCGCTCAGTGTGGCGTCCATATCGATCCACGCCTGGGCGGAGCCGCCGCGGCCGCGCTCAGATATCACGCGTCACTATTATCGGTCCGGGTCGCTACCGTGGCTACAGCATCTCGGGTCATACGCGTGCGCATGCTCGTACACACACACACTGGCATGCGACACGGTCGCATACACGAATAGAGGGACACGCGTACGCACACATACAGTGTACAAATAGTGATACGCGCGGGTACAGTGCGAACGCGGCCGTTGACGACCAAATCTTGTGCGAGCCGTCCGCGCTCACGTAATATCATTTCTTTTGTTCTCGTCGGCGTTGTCATTGTTGGTAAAAGTAGTGGTTGTCGTCCTCGTAAAGATATACACGCAATCACTACGCTGCCGTTGCCGAGCGTCAAACGCCGAGCGTGTTATGTGACGCTCGAGCGTAGTAGATAGCATTCGTCTCGCGGACCCAGCGAACTCCTGCCGTCAGTGATGGGTTCGCTACCCAACTTGCACGAGCTTTGCAAGCAGCAATTGGTGTGTTCGGCCGTGCCGTCTAGGCTGTCCCCTAATCCCGACCGCGGTGGCAGCAACTCTAGTAGTCGCATTCAGCACAGACGGCTGCGGCAGACCAACAGCCTGTGCACAGGAAATTTTTACGGTGTCATCGATCGGCAAGTCGACATGCAGATCAACGAGGTAATAATAATACAAGATATACGAACAAATTTGAGCGTTACACGATATTATTTTAACTTCCTGTATTTCACCATATTGATGATGGAGTCAAATTTGTGTTATCCGCCGTCTGCTCATGGTTCTGTGTAGATTTTCGTTATTATCGGTTACTTACATTTCGGTAAACATTGATATGATAATAAATCTTTTTCTTGGTTCTTTTGAAATTTAAGTTTATTCACTGCAGTAGGTATATGCACGTATGTACATATGACTAATATTTAAATCGAGATTTTGAAAGTTTGAGTGTAAATACATTTTTCTCAGTTATAGTAATACATTTTTTGTTATTAGTTTTAGTTAGTTTTGTTTTTTTTTTAAACTCTAAATTTGGGAATCATAAAATACCTCCAAAAATAAGTCAAATTCGATAGTACCTAATCTGCAACAAGCAGACAAGCATTATACATATACAAATGTGTTTGAGTGTCTTATATCACGTGATGTGACAAACTTTACTGATTAGATATTTAACAGCTATTTATTTGATGATTCACAATTTTCACTTCTTATTATTGCAGAAGAGCAATTTTCATACCCAACAAAAATTAATGACCTGCAATCAGGACCTAGTTTAATAAAATTAGGGCCAAGTGCACAATTTTTTTTGGGGCTCTCCAAGTCGAAAAAATGTTATAGAAAAAATCTACATAGATGTATATATAAATAAAATCTATGTTTATATGTTAAAAGTGTTAAATACCTATCTCAAAACTTATAAAATTTCAAAATTTAATGAAATATAAATCAGTGGTTCTAAAAATAATAATTCTGTGAATGAAATACTCATAGCGTCTGTAAATACTGGGATCGAAATTCGAGTCTTGAATAAATTTATAAATAGTTATTAGGTATCAAATATTTCCGATGTTTAAACAATTTTCTATTACTATTATTGTAATATTTTGTGATGGTAAATGATTATAACTGGGGTGTGAAATGACAAAAATAATCAATATTCAACTGACAATTTAATGATAAAAATATACTGAACTCTGAACATTAACAGTTGGTATTACATATTAAAAAATAAATGTTTGTGGAATTAATTTAAAAATACTATTTTCTACAACTTAAGGAGATCGGGGAATCCCAGAAATTGGGGACCAAATACAAGTACTCCATCTGCACTTGCGTAAATCAGGGCCTGTCTGCAATCTTCGGAATTCCATTCAAATTATAACCAATAATTTTATGAAGAACATCCAAATCATTAACATTTTCTCCATGTATAGATGGAAAAATCAAACGAAAATCATTTTAAAATCAATATCGAAATCGCAAAATTTGAAGTCCGATATTGGAAACCCAATAGGAAATCAAAAAAATGTATACTTAACCGATATTTTAAATCAAAATCGCAACCAAAAAATATGAAAACCGGTGTTCGAAACCAAAATCAAATTTATAAATATGTATAACCGACTTTCTAAATCAAAAATATGAAAATCGGTATTTGAAACCAATATAAAAATCAAAATGATTTTCAAAACCGAAATCGGAAGCAATATATTTAGGTTAGGTTTAGAATATATATTAAAATCGTTAACCAATATAATTAAAAAGTGAGAATCGGTATAATATTTTGGTGTGTATTTTAGCTATATTTTGCACCGCCATAATAGTCGTCGTCGACGATAAACGATATTCATAACTATTTTCTTAATAAATAGTACTTATAATTTTCGTATAATAAAATTACGAAAATAAAATATATTTGATAACGTCCCAACTATGCCGAATGGTGTTAATCGACAATGTCGGTGGACATGTAAATTTTCAACTTGTCCAAATTAACTTATGTGCAGGGCTTGCACCCGAATTAATCGGAACCCGTAACACCCCTACCCTTAAAAATCAAACACCCAAAACCCATATAACCCGAATAATTTTTTTTTTAAACACCCGAATCAACCAAAACCTGAATAAAATATTGGTTTTAACCCGAAACCCGAATAATTTTTTATTTTACAATCTTTATGTGACATATCACTTTGTATGTATTTTTTGTGGTTATTTGAATTTTATCTTTAGTTGTTTAGTAGTAAAATTATTATTCACAGGAATAATTTCACAAATATACAAAATTGTTAATTAATCTAAATGTATCTAAATAAAGACAAAAGCAATATATCATATTGACAGGTGTGCATAATATGGTGTGTATGATATGTTGAATGTTCAAGTGTAAACAACTGAGATACTATTTTTAAAATTATCCCGAACGGATACGTCGTATTATTATAAAATAATAGGTAATAGGTCTTCTACGAATCAGAGTCGTTATTTATTGCAATACTGTAAGTCTGAAATATAATTGATACCTCGTTTATGATTACCTAAATTGTTGTTCGCGTTATTTGTATTTGTTCAGTGTATGGTGTGTAATACACATGTCTATGGCGTGAATTGTCAATTTTTGTTGGTGTAATAATTTCATCGTAACATTCATAAGTATAAATTATTATTATTTTTGTATTACGCTATGTCCTAGCTATTGCGTTTTTAGTGTGTGCACGCTCCACAAACCATAAGCGGAAAAATTATTTATTTCAACAAGGCAATTTACGAAGTTTGACAATTTGACATTTTTAATCAACAATTTAAACAAAAAACAATTACGTGCCTTATCTTAAACATTTTTGGAGTAGGTATTCTAAACAGAAATTATTAATTAATTAAATTAAATAACCTATACGGGTATTATTACATATTATTAATATTACATTGATTGCGATCGTTCCAAGTCATGACAAGAAGTTTGTAAGATCTTACGAATTTGATTTAATTTTTATCACAGAATATTTTTTTTTTAATTCAGTTATTAAAAATACATTTTACAATTATATTAATTTTTGTATTTTAGTCACATAACAATTTTTAGGGCTAAGAGGACTAAGACCTGTACTTTATATTTCTGGGGGACTTAGTCCCCTCAAGCCCCCTCCCCCCGATTTCCGCCTATACCACAAACACAAACGCAGAATACAAAATAGTTTATTTTTTGTCGAATGCGATATGCCCGCATTAACTAGAAGTAGAACATAGTGTTTGTATTTTTAATTTTAATAGATATCACAATTTATAAGCTTCATACTCATGTAAAATAACACCCTCTTCTCCGAAAATAAATCATAGCTACACAATTGCTTGAAATTAACATAGTGATAGTTTGGTCTAAAAAACTGTTGCACAGTTGTATAAGAAATTAATATTTATTACATAGGCGGGTAACGAAAAATATAAATGTTTCATTAGTGGAGGGGGGGCTCAGCCTCCCCACCACCAGTGAAAAATAATATTTTTCCTTGACTACTTAACACCCGTATTAACCAATATTAACCCGAATAATAACGGTTATTAACACCCAAACGTTTGTTTAAATGTTGTATTGTGTTGTTTGAACACCCGAATATATTCAAAAATTATTCAGGTGCAAAGTCTTGCTTATGTGTGTTAATTAATCGACGGACACAAGTGCACCGACATGATATTGAGTGTATTTTATGGAACGTTTTTTTTCTTTATATTAAAATCATAGTATTTATATGACAATTTATACATAAATAAGTTATTCAGAAGATTATCATAAGAGATTATAAATTAACAGGTTCATCGTCGCCGAGCAGGTTTTGTGGAGCCTTGTCCGAGGCAAAAAGAAATATAGTACGGATGGATTTATAAAAAAATTATTACTTGATGAGGTTGATTAGTTGAGCCTAGATACAGATGTGACTTGAGCATTCGAAACTTTTCAAATTAATAATTCCTATTTTAAAAATATATTAAGACACGTCATTCAGACAAGTTATTCTAGTGAGCCAGAGTCTTGCAGTTTTGTATTGCGTTTTTTGGCAACTGGAGATTTCATTAGGGTATTTCTTAAAGATATCAAAACAAAAACTCAATATCAAAACTCCGAGTTTTTCCGACTCGTTCTTCTTTTTATTTTTTAAATTGTTTTTGCAAATTTTTATTTTTTTTTCTACATTAACTTTTTCAATGCCAAAAGAAACCGCCATTTTAATTAGTCTATAATACCTTTTGTTTTTATTTTTGTATTGTAGATCAATTGGATTCCACAATAAACTAAGTTCACGATACATTTCAATAAAATAAATGGTTTGTCATTTCAATTCATCATGAATTAATGGTAAACGACAATTAATAAAATGCAAAACCAAATAAATGCACCCAGCAAAACAAAACTATATACGAGTTTTTATCAGTTTTTGAAGTTGATACAATTCTGTGACAAATCAGTTGTAGCTTAAAAGTCGAGCAACATGCTTCATACGTCCATACTACTGTTGTCGATTCGATTGTCTTTGATCCGTACCAACTTGATTCGGCCCAACATGTTTCAACAAAGCCGTGTGACACACACATTTTTTCGAAATTGTCGATCAACACCATTCGACATAATGTGGACGCAGCTTTATAAATTATGGTATTGGTGCCAACTATCATATCTCTGTCATCGTCAATCGATAAACCGCATCCTGAGAAAAATAGTATATAATTTAGCTATATTTAAATATACGGGAATCAGGGATGGACTGAGGCTTAAAAGGCCCAGGTGGGTATAAGTTTTACAAACTAACAAACAAGCGACTCGTGTTACATGGGAAATTTTTAGTTGAGGCTTAAACCTAATATTTTTGGAGAATCTGGGTGGGTATGGTCTATGGTGACCACCTACCCACCCTGCCGGACTGCCCACGACGGGAACCGACATTTCATTTACTATTATCAAGGAGTACAAATAAAAACAAATTTAAAATCTAAAGGTTCGTTCTTAATTTTAAAAACTCTAATTTTGTATTTTTTTTATTTTATGGATTAATTAAATTAAATAAATATTTAAATTATTTAAAATTAACGATTTAATTCATATGAATAAAATGTTTGTATAAATGATGTCAGTATTGTAGTAATACAGAAAAGGATAAAATATTGGA